AACATACCCAATTTATTCTTTGATGGTACGATGGACGGGGTAGAAGACTTAATTACCGCAGTCAAAATCAACTTGAAATGAATAGGAATGTACTTAGTTATTCGGGAGATCATGCAAGTACAGACAACTTACCACTGGTTCTTCTTTAGCCACCGCTTGTTCGAGTTTTGTCAGTGCAACATCAGCCTGTTGGGCATCGCGGAAGAAAGTCTAACAAGTTACTCAATGAATCGACAAATAAGAAAGGCTTACATGGGCTTCTACATTTTGGGCCAGAGTCTCCCCGCGTTTGGCATGCATGTTGTGTAGAGCTTCCCAATCTTCTTCAATACGATCTAAACGTTCAGCGAGGAACTCATACTGCGCATCAGTTTGGTCAGCAGTTTCACGACGGCCAAACTCCATTAGGCGGTGGAAATCACCCTCGTAGCCATCGATTTCAGCCTTTAGTTGCTGATGACGGTCGACAAGGGCCTCAGCTTCCTGAAGTAGAAGATAGATGAAAATCGTAAGAAGCTCACCTGGAGGTTGTTTGGTATGTCCTCAGAGGCAACGTCTGTTTGTGTACGATGAAGCCACAGCTGGAAGTGGTCCAGATCTTGCAGGAACCGTTGAAGTTCACTGGAATAATTTAGTCGATCGTCGCGTTCTTTCAGCATTTCCTTTAGGTCATTCCACAATTCATGAATCTTTTGATTTTCAGCCTCGACAACCTAGAAATGTAATGTAAGTTGGATGCGAAAACCAACTTACAGGTTTGTGTTCGGGTTTAGCCAAGCAAAGTTCTTCCGCCTGACTGTCTAGATGTTCTACTTTAGCTTCGATTGCTTTTAGGTCGCGCTGTAGACCACCCAGTCGTCGTTGCAATTGCATAATGCCACTTAAATCGTTCCCTAGTTCATCCGTAGATTCGATGAGTTTGGCTTTGTCCTTGATCCAATTAGCGGTTTCCGCGCTTTCAATTAGGAACTGATTGTACTGATAAGCCAGATCGAGTTGGCGTTTTTGTCGATCGACCAAGTCGGCCAGATCGTTCCAGGAGGCATTCAAAATATCCTGGTGTTCGAGAATCTTTGTGCTGTCTGGATGTTCAGTTCCCAGCATTTTCTCGGAAAGTTTATTCACCGTGTCTACTTTTTCAGCATTGGTAGTTAGTTCCTTCTCGAAACACTCGAAGCGATGACGGATTACTTCTAGTTCGATCTCATCACTTGGGACTAGAGTTGTCAGTAACTTTTCTTTTTCTGTGATCCAAGCGCGAACGGTGTCTGAAACGTCGAACAGTTTGTACATAGACAGAGCATCCAACAGACGTTGCTGTCTAAGTTTAGCCATCTCTTGCACCTGCTGATAGTGTTGATCAACGGCCTCCAGTCGACTGGCAATTGTTGCCGCATCACAATCCGGATATTCAGATACAGTGGCCGCTTGTTGATGAAGCTGGTCAATAGTAGATTGAAATTCATTCAAGTTGTTCATCACTTCTTGATTATTTTTCAATAGGGATTCTGTTGTGGCTAATTTCAAGCCTACATCTTCATTGCTAACGATTCGTTGTTGCTCGCTAAGCCAAACATCTGCATCATCACAATCAGCCATGAGCTGGAAGAATTCCTGAGATTCGACCAAACGTTGAATACGGTCAGCAGTCAAGTCGGCCAGTTTGTCCCAGAGTTTAAGCATCTCTGCTTTGCGCTGTGAGATTAGCTCATGACCTTGGTTGCCCTCCTCGATCAACTTATCACCATCCTTCAAGGCACTTTGAAGTACACCATGATGTAGCTGACATTCTTTTTCCAATGCTTTGTGTTTCCGTAGTAATCGGCCTACACTACTTAAATCATGACCAAGATCCGGACTTGACATAAGCTGGCTCTTCTCTTTGATCCATTCTTTTTCATCATCCATAGCCCAGAAGAACTGCCACATTTTCCGGGAGTCAAGAAGTCCTTGCAGACGACTATCGGCCAAGTCGTGTAATTCCTCATAAGCAGCCCGTAATGCACGACCACGTTCCTGTACAACTTCCGGTTCAATCGGCTTGTAGGAACCGACATCTTCGGGGAAGGTGCAAGTGATAAACGGTTCCGCTTGTTCAAGCACCTGATTCATGCGACCACCCAGAACGCGAATATCAGCCTCGAGTAGACTGTGCTTCTGTATTAAATCTTCAACGCCCATGAGATGTTTACCAAAATCGACCGAACGAAGCCGATTTTTGATTTCTTCGATCCAATCCATCAGATAACTCATTTCTTGGAACACATGTTGCAACTGTAGACTCAGATCCAAACGATGGCGTCGCAGTGCCAGAGAACTCAACAGGTTCTGCCAAAGAGCCAAAACATTTGCTCGCCGAACCTGGACACGTTCATAGTCATGATAATTTTCGCGCTCCAGTTCTTCGGCAACATTTACCATGGCATTCACACGTTCCTCGTAAGCAAATATATCCGTTTCGATGGCCTCATGCTTCTTTGTTGCAGCCTCCACGGCAGCCAGATCTTGACCGAAATTATCTTGGGCAACCAAACGCTGGTTGTCCGTCAGCCACGTTTCTCTCAAGCCGGCCTTTCGATCGAATCTCGACGCCAGCTGTTCAAGCTTTTCTTGTCGTATAAGCTCGTCACGGAGTGCTAACTCACGTGAATGTTCAGCTCTTTCCAA